GTCATGGTGGCCATGAAGTCCTGAGCTGCCCCAGTCAAGGCAGCCTCGGCATGGATGTTGAGGTCTCCCAGCACCAACAGTCTGGGAGTCCTCAACACCAGGTCTCCATCAGCTCAGGCAGGGAGACTGTTGGTACGCAGCAGGGTGGGCAGTACACCAACAGAATCCCTAATCTGTCTCGCAAGCCCAACACACAATACAGGCCCTCAAGACCTCCTCTCAAAGGGACAGGAAGCCTGGTCAAGGAGATAGAACTCCTATAGACTATAGCAACTCCCCCTCCCTGACCCTCCGAGCAACATTGGTGCTGGACTGAGTACCCAGGCGGACACAGCTGGGAGAGGGGAACATCACCTTCCTCTCCCACCCAGGTCTCAGTAATGCATCCCAGGTCAGCACCCTCATCCAGAATTACATGATGGATGAGGGCAGTTTTATTTTGTACTGACCTGGCGTTCATCAACAGCACCGTGTGGCTCGAGGGTTTGCTGATATAGTCACCTGATACCATCTGGTTGGGGTTAGGACTAGAAGAGGGGATAGATGTAAGATATCTAACCTCTCTTATCCTACATGGGCATGTTCTACCCCCACCGCCATTCCTTCCCCTACCCAGCACCACCTCAATGGCTGCCCCCCTCCAACGCCTTCCCCCCTTCCTGTTCCCTAAAATCCACTGTGGGTCTTTCCTTAATTGATGGCAATTAACTTAAAATAAGTTTAAAAATATATTAAATAAATTATGTGTGTTAGTCATTTCTTATGTTATTACCTCATCACTATTTCCTCAGTGGTCACTATGATAGTGATTATTGCTGCCTCTAGTTTGCATTTCTGTTCCCTCTGACCTCACCATTCACAGTCCCATTTACAAACTATGAGCACAGGAATCTCTTAAAGGGACAATGTGTTGTAGTGGGTAGAGTGTTAAGCTAGCACTCAGGATTGCTGGGTTCAAACCCCCACCCAGCTATATAAGCCACCTTGGGCATGGCGATCATAAACGATACCATAAACATCCTGCAAACCTTAAAAACCCTATTAGGGTTGCTATAAGTCAGAAGCAACTTGACAGCACATAGCTACTGAGGATGCATTAGATGAAGTGTACTGTGTCCATGAACTCTTATGCTGCAATAAATGTCTTAAGGCAGTCTTTAAAATACCACAGAGGGCTATAAAGCTTGTGAACAGATGACTTCCCGAGGGAGAAGGTTCTCCCACTTGCTCTGTGATAATGAAAAGAGAAGAAAAATTGAAGTGTCTTCTGATGTTCATTTGTTTCTTCAAATTGGAACTCAAGTAACAGAACTTCACTTCTTTCCCAGGTGCTCAGACAAGTACAGGAGACAGGGAAGGAGGAGAGCTACTAAAAGAAGATACAGTAGCCAAAATTAGTGTGGTGTTTCTTATTCAAACCTCCATGTACGAACTACCTCCTCGTAGCTCTAAAAACATCCACATGTTTTTTGGGTTTCTGATCTTGTCAGTAGGCTAAAGGAAGCAGCAGAGTCCTCCTTCACTTGCTCATTTCAGGGTAGAAACAGTGAGAAACACAGACACTATTTCTTATTTATAACTCTGGCAAATGAAACAAGAATTCAGGGGCCTTGGAAGGAAGACTTCCTTCAGTTCGAGTGTAAGCGACAAGGCAGTTCTGTACTTGGCAACTTAGAAGTACCGTATTTTTTGCTCCATAAGACGCACCAGACATTAAGACGCACTTAATTTTTAGAGGAGGAACACAGGGAAAATATATTCTGTACCAAATAGTGTAATAAAATATTTAATAAACTATAACAGAATAACATTTGAACCATGTAAAGTGAACAGCAGTCAACAGTGGCATTAATATAGACCATTATCAGCCAGTGATAAGACCTATACCACTCCCCGGTAAGCAAGGGGAGGACGCGAAAACACTGACAGGGGGCCATTTCGGGTCATCCGGCGGCCATTTTGGAGCCGCCGAACGCCCCAATCGTCGCAAAGCGAGTGCGGCGATTGGGGCAGCTCCGTATAGCGATCCCCAAAAAGGGATCGCTATACGGATTCTTCGTTATATGGTGCGCTCGTTAAGCGAGGCACCACTGTATTTAACAGCTGGTTTTCCTTATTTACTTTAGGTTATGCAAAAGAACAGCAACACAGAGCTTAACCTGATCCCATTCACCAGCAGTAGCACATGCTCAGCATAAGACCAAATATCGTGTTTCTGACATAATTGAACATTTATAGCATGCAAGGCACAACAGGTTAGGCCACACAAAGCCAAAAAAACTGAATACAAACTATAGTACCTGAAATCAGGCAGCAGGTACTGTAATCCAGTTAGAAGTCAGGAGGCACAGTTAGTTTCCTTGCTGCAACACCCTTTGGAAATACATTCTCTATTAGATGCCCAGAACTAGTTGAAA